TAATCAAGTTTTCTTTACATTTTTTTTTTGAAACAATATTAAAAACTTTAAATAACAAATTTAAATTATATTTTAAAAAAACTAGAGAGAAAGAAATGATTAATTTATTTGAATAATATTGGAATATTTAAAATCTATAGTTTTAATACTGAAGGTCTTCTGGGTACTTATCAGTTTTAAAAACCATTTTCGTTTTAAAAACTATTAATTTATTAATATCTTCTATATATATTATTTAATCTGAAAAGTCATGGCTTGAGATAATATATATTATTTTCATTGTTTCAAAATTTCTAAATGAAGGTTGTTGATAACAAACAATGAAATTAAATTTTTTGAGTAAACAGTAGATGGTCTTTGGAGATATGTTTGAAAGTTGAGTATTATACTATCTTCCTATTTATTTGCTAAATTTCTTATCAACCTAGTTAAGTGTTGAATATAAACAATTTATGGTTTATATATTAATCGTTTAGATTTTATTTAAAATAATTTTACTTCATAGTTCAAAAATGTTGTGTTGAAAAAATTTTTTTAATTGAATATTGACGTTTGATAAGGGTCTATTGGCAGCTCACATGTGAATTGAATTAAAATGCTAATGAAAAACTCTGATGAATTTTATAGAATAATAAGAGAATAAAAAAAATAATTTAATATATTCCTTCAAAATAAGACCGAGATTTTACAAGTGGAAGTAGTCAAGCAGCTTTAAACAAACAATAAAAAACATCACAGTATAAGGTAATAGTATATTTTGAACATTAAAATAAAAATTTGAGCAGCAATATTTTGTCTCCTCAGACGCATTTTGTCCTAAAAGGTAAACTGCCAGTAGAATCAAATCTGACCACTTTACAAGAACTTAATAGCCAACGCGAAAATATAGTTTAAATTTGGTATCACTGCTGATTCTACAATTAGGTTTATTATGACAGACCTTAATAACACTATATAAGCAAATATTTCAAACCAAGAGAAATTAAAGATGATATATAGATGGCGCTGCGAACAGCCTAGAAAAAATGGGAATGTGTAATTTATCCGACTGGCTAAATGTCATATTGTCTGAAGGAAAATAAAGTAAAAACCTACAGCTCACAAGGAGTTAAACGATTTCAACGATGATGCGATTTCTAAAAAAAATTCTTTCAGTTGTAGATTGGACAAAAAAAAACCATAGTATATAGTATTATTAAATGTTATTTCAAAGTTTATAAATAAAGTTTATTTATAAGTTTATTAAAATAATGGCTTATAGGATCTGTCTTAGTACATTTGGATAGGATATCCAATGTGGATAGATATTAAGATTATTAACAATCCTTATAATATTATAAGATGGTGTTTTTTAAACTACCATCCGACACAGATATCAATGAACTAAAGAATGATGGAAAAATTATCCATTAAAACGATTAAGTTAAAGATACATTATGGTGTCTTTCAAGAAATAGTCCCAACAACAGTGAAATGTGAAGATTCGGTTGGGATCAGTTGAGATCAGCTTACAGTTGATGAAACTGTAAGAAAAATTCTCACTGCTCTTTTTTTATTTGTAGATCAATTGTGCTATCTTTGGAGAAGTAGTTCCAATTTGAACAAGGATCAACGTTAGGTATTGATAAATCTTATAGAGCTCTTTGAGTATGGTTTTATATAGTCTCTCTCTTCTAAGATATTCTTCAGAACAAACTTCAATGGCATGGACTTTTTATAAAATATAGTTTACTGTAACTGTTATTCATTTATTTCTTTTATATAGTGCCTTATAAACAAGAAATTATTTAATATTATGACATATGAAATTTATCTCTAATTTAAGTTGATTAACTAACATTTTTTTAGTCATAATATAAAACTGCTGGTAATAAAAAATATATACAAATTTTATAAAATATGTGTCATGTGATTTGCAATTATTACTGCATGAGTTGAATAAAAAAAATATTACATTGCTTTCATTAGGTAAAATACAAATTACTACAAATGTGAATGTAATTTTAATGCAAAAGTTTCCTTTTATAAATGCAAATTTAAAAATTCGTAAGCAGAATTTTCATTCAAATGTGTTCATTACTCTAAATAACTAAGTACGTGAACATTAAAATAATTTAATTGTTTTTTTAATAATAATTTGCTTATACTTAGATATTCGCTAACATTAATACCAGATGCCAGAGCGCCATCTATTTGTCAACTATTTTCTTTAGGGCTATTGTGAGTGCAACGTTACATCGGAGAGTTTTGAAACAGAAATCAATTGAATATATAATCTTGTATAGAAACGTAGCTATAATTTTATTTTCAATTTCCTTTGTATTTCATATTTAAAGTTAACATTTTACCGTATTTTTAAAATAAAAAATATTGTAAAATCATTCGTATTTAATAAAATTTTAAAGTCCAAATGAGTTATGTGAAAAATTTTATATATACCGAATGGGTAAATAAGTTAGATAAATCTACTCTTTCAAAATAAAAAAGTGGACGCACAACAAGAGGTTGAAAACGATTTACATGTATGATATAAAACTGCATTATTCGTCGTAAAAACACAAAATATAGTCTTTGAAGCTTATTTATTAAAAGTACTCATCTAAGCATACAAATTTATCAAATGTATAATTTTATGCGTTTACGTGCACGGTTATATGAACGCACTTAGTGAATAATTTGTGTAAATTTAACAATCTGCTGTATAGTAGCACTATTTATATCAGTATTAATTAATATATGACAGCATAATATGCAATAGTCAGCAGCGCAATTTTTTAGCTTATATTGTTGAAATTTTAAATATTTGTGCAAACAGCTGAAACGCTATCAATAAATTATAAAATAAAATATCTAAATTATGCGAAAAGCCCAAACTAAAAAGTATTTACAAAGATATTTTTGTAAATGATTTGCTTGTGTTGGAATGCAACTCTGTATTGACAACAAATAAATGTACGATATAAATTTATTCGGTAAAATGTTCGCGTAAATTTATCAAGTTTGTGTAAACTATTTTGCATACAAAATTTGACACTTCATTTAGCAAGCAGATAAAGATATACGTTTAAAAGCTTTATAAGGCATTTATCAGTTTAGATGAGTACCCCTATTGTTGGAGATGTATATATATGGTTTATATAAAAATATATAAACAAATATATATATGTAGATAAAGTAGTGTAATAGGGGAGATAAGGCAGTGAAATAAAAGCAATTGAAACTGAAAGCAAGATAAGAAGAAGAGAAGAAGTAAAAAATAGGAGTTTTTGAGAAGTTGGATAAATTTGATAAATTAGATAAATTTGATAAGTTTGCAAAGTTAAAGTTAAACATAAATTCATAAAGACTAAATTTTATTTTTTGACTAAAGAAGTTTTTAATTTAATAAAAGTTTAAAGTTTAATAAAAATATTAAGAAACATTGTGTTTTTTTTTGTTTAAATAACTACATATATAATTACAAGAAACCCACTTTATAGCTTTAATGAAGCAGATAATATATTTAATGTTTATTGTAGTCATACCGGAGAGACATTTCAAAAAGTTAAACCCTAAAATGAATGTGAGCTTTTCAGTGAGTGCCAATAAATACTAGTTGTTGGTGGTTTCCATACAGTGGCGGAGCTAGACCGACTCGGCACGACGGCGACATCAGAATTACGAGGCCCCCTTTATAACCCAGTTGTAGAAGTAAATAAGCTATATTCACTAATACGACAAAGCATGATGGAAAGTTTTATTGCTAATCAAATTACAATAAACACAAATTAAAATAAATGAATTTTCCTACTTTTACTCTCATTCAATTTTTTTTTAAATTATATCATAATTTTCGCCAGCTGCTATTTTTGTTTCAGTTTATAGAATTTGCAATGGAGATAGTCTCTTTTGGATCATCATATTTTTCTAGTACTTCTTAATCAATTTTAAGTTTCAGAAGCTTCTTTCCGTCGAAGCTCTACTGACTGGAACTGTGAACATGAATCTGGTTACTATATAAATATTCGGGAATATTTCAAATATGGTTAATGCCATTATTAAATCAAATTGTTTAAAATATTTATTAAGTGCTTAGAATCCACAGTCAGTAACTTTTTGCGAGGCCCCTGTGGGCGCGAGGCTGTCGGCGGTCGCCAACATCGCTGACGCCTAGCGACACCACTGTTTCCATATAAGAATTTCCAATTTAAACGGCGATATTTCCAAAACTGAACTAGGTAGATATTCAATATCGTTTAGTTTTCGAGATATCAGACTTTAAAATTGAAAATTTTTACATACCATAAAAACCACCAACAACAAGTAGTCTACTTACTATTACTCATCATTTATGTAATTAATGTAAAATTGAATATACTTATAGGTACAGTGGATCTACTAAAATCCGTTATCAAATAACCATACCCAGGAAATCGAAATCGTGCCCTTGTTTAAATTTTTATAAAATCGTATATGCTGATTCTATGGTACAGTTAAATTTTTGAATATTTTAAACTGAACTGTTAAAATGTAATTTGTGACTATAGAAGTAAATCTACAAAAATGCAATATTATTGGAAATATACTATATAAATAAATTTTTAATATTGTATATCATAGCACTTACATTTTTTGAGTAACATTCCTGAAATTGTTAACTACGTATACTGTTGAACTACATAATCCCCAACAAAATAGATTATTTCACCACAAAAGTTTAAAAATAATCAAAATGAAAAATTTGTATATCAAAAACATTCCATTAAAAAGTACTTAAAAATTTGTTAGTTAAATAAATAAAAAGTATTTAAAAACTCAAAAAAAAATAAGAAGAAATACACACAAAACACAAAACAACAATAAAAGCTCAAATAAAAAACTAAAACAGCTGATAGTTTATAATTAGCAACAAACAATAATTAAATTTTTAATGATAAATGAATCTTTTTTTTTGTAGAGATATGAGATATGACAATCTCGGGTGCGGTTCAAGCGCATCTTTCTGAGTGTGAATGATTTTAAAAATTTTGCAGAAGTTATACAAATATGTTATATTGGACAGCTTGAAGACAAGAGAGCAATTCTATTCTTTTATGTACGTGGCGGACACACTCACCTTCACTGCCATTCGGCTTAGAGGCTGCGTTCGCCAGGCAACGTGGACAGGAAGCAGTCGAATCGATAAGACTATGTTCCGGTGCAACATACGGAAGATCTTTATATATGAAAGTAGTCGGTGTAGGTGGTGCTAAATTACGATTTGAAATGATTAATATTTCATAAAAATAATCACATAATAATTTCAAAAAAATAAATACCATACATACTATACATAATTGTCTAACGTCAATAATTTTAATCTAATTGTATACAGATATGCATTAAACATATATTATCGTGATTTTTTTTTTTTTTGATGGAGGAAGCTACTTGCACACGTTTTTAGAAAAAAATTATCTAATAATTTCTAAGTCACATGTGATTTGTTTTTCTATATTATCACAAAAATTATCTTCTACTTGTTACTTTTTAGTTATCAATCATACACTTTGCTTATTCATATGTGATATAGCAAAGCTATTTTTAAGCTTATAATAAACACGGCAATTTGAAACAACACCTTTGAGTTGCCATAACTCATTAGCACTTTTATCCTTTCGTTATCAAAGTAACTGTCTAATTATCATTGCTGAGCTATCTTTATTTTTATATTTATAGCATACTTAAATATTTGCTATTTAATATTTAATTAATAAGCTATTACTTCTTCAGAGGAGAGCTGTAGTTTGCAGAGAATAAAGAAATGAATTTTCGTAATTTTTTGTATATTGGTTTTTATTGGACACGTGTCCAAAATTTGATCCAAAAAATAAATAACATTTTTTAATTTTGATATTTCGAACTACTTAATATGATAATGATATTTATTTAAAAAAAATAAAGTAATGTACTACTCATTAAAAGAAAAAGATACTTTTATATGTTGTATCTGCAGTTTTTTCTTTCATTTCAAAAGTTTATTGCAAACCAAAAACGGATAAATTTTATATAGGCCGTGTGCGAGTTCGAGTAAATTGAGGGGAATAGTAAATTATGTCGGTATGGCAGCGAATGTTGGTATTTACCAGAATTTCGAGTAGGTCAAATTAGATAAAAATTAGGTAAATTAGGTGTTACCATTGTGAAAATTTTATAAGATCTTTAATATTAAAATTATAATTATTATGACATGTTCTATTAATTATAATCGCAATTCAATTAATAGAACATGTCATAATAATAAATAAATTTGAAAATTTTTAACAAAAAATATGACTTATTTTCTATTTCAATTAGAAAACAGTAAATAGTAAGGAATAAAGGAAGAGTAGTGCTACAATAATAATTTAATTGTTTTTTTAATTAATTAATTTAAGTAACTATACAGCTGTTTCAAATATTGCCAAATACAAATTATCAGTTATCGTTGGATATTTTGGACTGGACATAAATGTTGACCGAGTGAGTATTGAAATTACACCCATTTAGTCAAGTTTTAGACACCTGATTCAACGCCGTACTTGAATTATGTTTATTATGTTCTGTAAAATTTTTGCTCCCCCAACAAATTTGCTTAATTTTACATGTGTAAACCAAATATAAACCACAGCTATATATATACTATAAAACCAATTAAATATAACGAGAGTGGCTGTTATAATTCATTTCTATTTTAGTAAAACCATCGTTGTTTATAATAGCCGTTTTTTTTCTTTCAGAGTTGTAATAAAAAAAAGTATTAGGTCTAGTTGAAACAAATTGGCATCACTTTTAAAATATGTTTAATGTTTATTTTTGACATATGTTTTTTTAAGTGTATTTTGATATGAAAAAATTGTAACCACTAAAAATTAATTAATTTAAATAAAGGTAGAGAAAATGGTTAGCATTTTTTTTATATTTCAATTATTTTATTTATTTATCTATTTGAATTTATTATTAAATGAAATGCTCATATGATTCTAATGGATGAGTGGAGTTTTGCAACATATTTCTAGTGAACATTCTGAATAGACTAATTTTTGAATTTGGCTGCACTGAAACTGAAAACGTAAAAATTTTTACAAGTAAAATCTAACTCTGAAGATTTTAAGAGCATTGTTTTTGCTTTATATGTTTTCTTTCGTAAGTTGCAAGTATTTTGTTGCTACTCTGAAAGAAAAAATTACGACCAAATTCATAAAAATCATTTATTTAAAATGAAATAAAATAATAAAATAAAAATTGTTTATTATTGATACTAATCTTTAACCAGTTCATTGTATTTAGTAGTTTTCTTTATTAGACTAATATGATCTCATTATTGTTTCTTTTTTATAAAAAAAAAATATATTAGTATTTTTAGTATTTCGTTCGCAGAATTTTTTGTTTTACTTTTCATAATCAAAATTCAAGATTTTAACGCATTTAATTGAAAAAGCAAAATATATTAAAAATTGTCGGCTCATGCACAAACTATATAAAAATATAAAAAAATGATTATTTTTAAAAATTAATTAATTTATTTTCGAAAAAAAAATTTTTTTATTCAAAATAATATATTTACTATACCACAGCGTATATAGTACTTCACACTACACTCTATCGAGTAAAAAGGAATAGAAGACATAGTTAACTCTTTAACTCTAAACGTTAAAATATAATATTATATTATTTGAATAATACTATTTTTTATTAAAATGCAAATTTTTGAAAGCACAAATTAAAACAAGATGGGCCGATTCGTATCTTGAGTTTTGTTGTTGTTGTTGTGGTTTGAGTTAGTGCTATTGCGCACATTTACTCTTTTATAGTTGGGGGGCTTATCCCTGCCCCACACTAATCTTTAACTATACTAGAATTGTTAGGTTTGTTAGGTTGTGCAATGTATCCACTTTTATGTATAATTTTAGGGCTCTTCCCTTGATATATTTTTCACTAAGTCGATCCTTAGATCTCTGTGCATGTCTGTTGTTCTAATATACCATGGAATCTTACTACTGACTGTAAGTATAAATTAAGTCAGCAAACTTGAGCATGACTTAAGTCACGAGAAATATCCCCTAAATTAAATAGGTTCTATATACCTCTACCCTATAACCCTTCTGAAACCAAGTTCATATAAATTGTTTGAAATGTATATTTATTACAATTAATATAATAACAAAGAAATAAGCTAAGTATCCCGCTTTGATTAAAATATTATGTTTAACAAAAAATGTTGGGCATCATATACAACATCAGTAAAAAAATAAGGGCAACTGATTTTCAATGTGGCATTTAAAATCTATATTAAGTTGAATATTTCATATACTTTACTAATAATTAATTAATTGGTCTGAACCATGGTCATTGGTCATAGTGAAGCATGGTCGGATTTAGCTAGTTAATGAAAACTGTTCTGATTGGTCAAACATTCCAACCACTGATAAAATCATCAAAACATTTAATTAGTCCAACATATAGTATTATGAGTTTAATAAAAAAAATCGGAGACAAAGGAGATTATGGGAATTTCGTTTATACATATTGGAAAATATTGTATATATACTTAGATATAAGATAGCTCTCTGCATATTGAGTGTCGTGTTTGCTGTTCTTGAGCCTTTAAGTTTATCGGTTATATATTTTTAAGGTCCTATTGGTACTATTTGAACAATATTAACTTTTTAAGCAATTTATACTTGTTATCGAAACCTAGATTCACCGCTACAATTCTGAAAGGTTAGATGTGATGTTCAATGATTATTTTTTTTAGCATTTTGATTCGAATCACAAAAATTCTCTGCCATATCTGGTGTAAATAGATACTTGAAGCAATGCTATACTTGGTGGAGTTAAAAAAGTGATAGCCTTGTTGGAAACTCAACACGTTTCCCGAAAAACACTTTGTTAATACTAAATTTTCTATATAAGAAAAATATGTTTAGTTTTAATTATTTTATTTTTGGTTTAAATATTTAAACTATCTGTTGATGTGTTTTGTGTAAATTATGCATGGTGTCTAACATGTTTTCCTGTCAGTATTAGAATTATTTAAAAATATATGTTAAAAATATAATATATATATAATATAATATCCACCTCATTTATAATAGTGTGAACGATTTCATTTTTAATGTATAAAACTTGTAATTATTTTTTAATATTTGCATTCATTATGCTAATATATTGTAATTAAGTAATTATCACCTCCATTTTGCATAGTTACAATATATGTATTTATTACAATATATATTATGGTAAGAAATTGTTAATATTTTTCTGATATCTAATAAATAAATAATTTATTATTTACAAAATTAATTAAAAAATACTAAAATGTAAAATTTGTAAATCAATATACATATAATATATATCGACTTCATTATACTATAACTCCTTAATAACAGATGGAAGTGGAATAATAATTTTGTTACAAATGTTTATAGCTCAACACATTAAATGGAAGATAATAAACTTTAACTTATATTCGAATAGTTTTTTGATTGCAAAATAAAAGTTCTCAGCGAACTTAAGTTAATTAGAGAAAAACACGCAAAGTCATATATCTTGTACTTTAACTAAGTTGCTATATAGTACCTTGTATCTAAAAGTATCTAAAGAAAGTACGGCCAAGATCAAGTACGAAACTACGTAAAACAAATAAAATATTAAAATAATATTTAATGTTTCGTGTTTTAGTTTGGTTTTTATTAGCATTTACGTTTAAAATATTTAAGAAAATATTTTCAGAATATCAAGTATACAAAAACGACTAAGGAACTGAAAAGCCTTCAACGTATTGGGACAGAAAATGTCTATGAGATATAAGACATACGACAAACGTTGTCAATTTAAAAATAAATACAAATTCGCTTTTTATTTACTCTTGTTAAACAACCTAAATTTTATTTAAATAACGCGATTGTGCAGATACTTTCTTCGTCCCATTTGTCATTGTATAATTCCGCAAATGACATTTAAAGTATTTTTTTCGGTTGAAGAAAAATTTTTTAAGAACTTAATATTCTACATTTTATTTAAAATATAAACATTAATTTTACTATATTTTTCTTTGTATTCTAGAACACGTCAAAATTTAGTCGCCATCATACGCAAAAAATATTTCATTAATGTATTTTTCACGAATATCTTATTCTTATGCGTATATATACAGGTTTTATTCATATATATTAAAACTGTCAACAATATAAGGTATTCGTCATGGTAAAATTTTGCACGAAATCATAAAATAAAAACATTTGTTAATAGTAATCTAGAATTTGTAGACTTATTATCTGCTACGATTTCATTTTATATTTTAAAACCATTTTTTTTTTCAAATAATAGCCTATTCACACAGCATAAGCAATTGTAATTGGGAATGAAATTTTGCTCGTTGAGCTTACCTTGCTAACAGCATGTTCACACTGCGAATCATAATTGTACCTTAATTGTATCGAAAAAAAAACAGCATAGCCGTTCACAATAGAGACTTGCGAAATTAATGCATTTGCAAATGCAATTTGCTTTTCGTATTGCAAGTACAAAAGTGTTGCGAATGCGTGTTCAATACTTTTTGTTTTTGTAAAAGATATTATTTTCGCATTTGCAACGACTCACCAAGATTATGAATTGCCCTATTGAAAATAAATATAGATTTCAACATCGCAATCTTTTCAACAATACCATCTTTCCACTGTTTTATGTAGTATGTAGGCAAAACATACAAAATGAACTAATTATAAATAAATCAACTGATTTAAGGTAAAAAATTTTGAATGCAACCCTTAAAAATAAATTTAAGTGGAAACACGTTATTATCATATCTTTTCCATATAATTATGCAGGCTTAGGATCTCACATATCATAGAAGAATTGTTGATCTCTAGATGGAAAAAACTTAGTATATGATTTCAAGAATATTAAAGAGAGTCACATTTGTTTTTATTGAGGCCATGGTAAGAGAAGAACAAAAAAGACAGGGAGAGTGAGGATCGTAGGTTAATAAGGGTTCATGATTAAAGTTTGTATATTTAATTTTGAATCGCATGAATAATCTATTTAGTTTGGATTCTATTTATTAATGTTAATTTTCCTCAGCGAGATAAGCTCAGAAGTTTTATATTATATTTATTTATGAATGGTATTCTATATTGAATAGTGAAGATTTTTCAAGATTATCGTTTATATTGAAGCTATTTGAGCCAATGCACTGGAGCACTTTTACTCTTTATCAATTAGAGAAATCTTCAAAACCCCTCTTTACGCCTTGACTGGATTAATGTTTATCACTTTATCAGACTAAGTAATAATTGAGCTCAGATTTGCATACCTCCCCGTTAACCATTCTGAGATTTAATAACTCGGTTTTAGTAAGTCTGTCAGTTTTCGCAAATAATTTCAGGGCTCTATCCTTTATAAATTTTTTGATGGAATCAATCTTGAGGTCCCTAAGGATGTCATTCATCCTAATGTACCATGGTATATTGAAAAGTCTTCTCAGAGCCTGGCTTTGCGCAATTTCTAGCTGGCGAATAGTAGTGTTTGTAGGTTTACTAAATGCTACAGTTGAACATGTTATGTTCTATATGAAGGACTGTTCCATATATCTGACTAATACTTGTAGATGTTTTAAATTCGCCTTTACCCATGGTATTTTCGTCATAGGAAAATACCATAATATATAGTAGTTTTATTAAATACTAAAAAATACAAAGAGTAGTTGAAATAACGGAATGGGTTTTAGCAAGTTCAGAATCAATCTTTGTCTTTAAAGAAGTGTAACATCACTCAGTTATGGATTTCTACGTTTATGTTGTAAACTTAAGTGCTAATATATTTTTGCTGACTTAGAAATATAAAATAAATATTTACATGTTTTTTAGAACCGTATTTGGCATTTGAATCCAATAATATACATATTGTTGACAGTTATGCAATTATTGTATTTCAATTTAAACATAAATTTGAAACGTTCTATATGAAAATTATTTCATTGAATTCTTTTTTATTTTAATTTTTACTGTGCCTTAATTTTTTATGAGTAATGAAATTTGATGATTAGCAAGTCTGGCAATTTATCGAGTTGCAGAATTAAGAATTATTTCATTTTAATTCAATAAAGAATTTTTTGCTTGACTTACTTTTAAATTTTGCGAAAAATGCTAGTCAATATAAAAATATAAAATAAGTTTATTGAACTTATTTTGCTTGTTAAAATTAATAGGTCACTAAATAGTGTATGTTAGAAAAAAGAAATCAGTTTTAATATGAAATAAAATTTAAAATTATTTAAAAAACAAAATCTAAAATTATTTAAAAAACAAAATGTAAAATATTGAAAAAAAATTGCTTGCAAATATGGAATTAATGCTATGTATGCTAAAACTATATAGTATATATCTTATAAATACTGTACTGTCTTATATATTATATATACAATATATATTATATAGATGTATATTACTTATACTTTCTGCTCAAAAAGTATCCGAAATTTGTAATTTAAAATACGTGAAGATATCTCTGATCTGATCTGATATGAATGAAAGTATTTGATCTGATATATACATGGTGACTTGTGAAAAACAACTATTTAGCCGAAGTACCAACAACTGGAAGATTTTGTGTATCTTAAAATGTGACGCACACTAAATATTTAAGGTTCATTGATATTTTATATCAATATATATAGTTTCATTGATATGACAATTTTTAATATTTTTAAAACGATTGGAAAAAATATCACATGAAAATTAAAAATAAATTTTGGTGAGAAAAAAAAGTAACGCTGTATCACAAGTATGGCTTGATAAGACTTACGAATTCACTTTACCACACTCTGTAAATAACTCCTTCAGTGACAGTATACCAACAAAATCGAAAAAAGTAGAGAAAGTCGACCTAAGATGCGATCGGAAGAATGAAATCGCCAAAAACGGTCCTAAATGCAGAAAAAGAATATACTATCACTAAGAATGTACTGTGTCACTAGTGGATGAAAACGATGGTTACGTGAATTCTACTTCAAAATCCTCCTGCATGTGGTATATTTTCCAGAAATGCATTCTACTTTATAACCTTTTCGTATAACTTGGAAAAATGACTTGGAAAAGGAAATTTTAGCTTGAAACCAGAGAGGTCTATTTTGAATGTCTCACCAATTATTCTATAAGATGGATTTAGAAATATACAAAAAATTTTGGAATATTTGAATTAAATTCAAGGAGAATACTTGTATATTAATAAATAAATCCGAATCTTTCCAAATATGATAGATTTTAATATTTCGATCTAAGAATACGATGGAAACAGTTTGGAAACAATTGGAATAAATATTACCATTCGTGTATTGTCTCTAGTTGGGATTATTTTGAAGGAGTAAGAAATATATTTAAGAACAATTGACATAATGAAGCATACATTATTCCGCTTACTTTTTGAAACAAATACGATATGTTGTATCATCAATATATGTATATAAAATATTGATATAAAACATAGACAATGGAGAGAGTATGAAAGTAATATGCATGTATATATAAAAGATATGTTCATATAGATATTGTATAAATAAAATAAATTTTAGTATTAAATATTTATATTAAATACTTATATGTAATATGAATTAATTTAATGGAAAATACTATAACACCGCGACATATGTGGTCTCTTGTTTTATATAATATGTAATATATCATCATTTTGTACTATATAAAATAATTATATATTGTTAACTATATATATAATTAAAAAATATATATGTAAAAGTAAAATACTTACATTATTACCATTATTATCACTTACATATATATTTTATAATTACATATATTTAACAATATGTAATTATTTTAGATAAAATAAGTAATATGTTAAATAATATATATTATATGAATATCTTTACATTATATTACTCATATTTTTTAAAAAAAAAATTTATATATATTATTTAGCTATCATTGTATTTTATATTTAATACTATGATATCTTATGGTATGTATTAATTACTATTATATGTGATTTATATATCAAGTATTTAGTGGTGCTATATTTATTATATATATATAGTAATTTTATATACTATATTTATAGTTATAACTTTATATAATATTTTAATTATATTATTAATTTCTGTATAATACAACAATTATATTTTTAATATACTTGTATAAAAAATATATAAAATAAAATAAAATTAAAAATTAAATATTTATTTAATTAAAAAATGTCTTATAATTACCTTCTTTTTCCGTCAGGTCCGAAAACTTTACACCGCCACTAGATTTAAAAAATAAAATTAAATACAAATTTAATTTAAATTTCAACAAAATTTTTATATCGAGATTTTTTAAATTAAATTTAATTTTTATTTTTTATTTAGTTTTTTTTTATTTTTTTTTTTTTTTTTTGAGAAAAACGAAACGATATAGTAGTAGAATTTGAATGCCACCGCACAACACAATATCAAATTGTTTGCAGCATTTTTGTTATAAAAAAATTTAAGATTTTCTCATTTTCAGCTTAAATATACTTTTATCAAAAGCAACTTTTAAATTTATGCCAAGAAATTTAATTACAGCAAAACTATTTTACATTTACTTTTGCAATTTCTTATATATTTTTTTTTTCAAAATTTAATTAAAAATTTATTTTTTATTTAAGGCATTTACCTGAGTAGTACGGAAGCCGTTTCAGGCACACGGAATACCTGAAAATATGAATATGCTCATTGTTGTTTGGGTTTCGAAAATTTCAAAATTTAATAAGAAATCATAATGAAGCATTAAACGATATATTTCATAAAATTCGACTTGATACTAACATATCATTATCTTAATTTTCACATTCCGTCGAAAGAATGTATGTAGCTACAATATCTTATCTTAAGCAATTTTGTATGCACAAGCGCTAGTATACACGGGAAAATGTATTGGCTTTTAATTATTATACTTAAGTATTGCAGATTTATTCAGCGCTTACAACATTTCATTTATGTTCATTATAATAATAATTAAGAACATAATAATATTAAATTTTATGATATTAACATGGAGCAGCAATCTTAGATCTCATACAGTGGCATGTATCTCATAAAGTCTCCTAAAATATTTCAGACTATTTTACACTATAAATTGAAGTATTCCTATTGATTTACGAGTACTTATATAAAAAAGGAATCTGAAGATTATAGTAAGGCCAAATAATTGTTGATACCAGGAATCGATCGAGTATATATTTCGTTAAAATGTAATCATTTCTATTAATATATAATATAATCAAGTTAAAAATAAAGGTTAGGAATGTTAAAAAAAAGTTAGGCACATTAAGTTATAAGGTATATAAGTATAATCGGCTGATCGAAGATCACACATAAACTATACAACATTATTAGCGATTCTCGATGTAAATTTATCTCTAAGAGGCAATTGATCTTATTTATTAATTAAATGCAAATTTCATTATTGCTACTCCCTTCAAGTACTATCTTCGCCAAAAACACAATTTTCGAATAATGTAAACATGATACATTTTATTCTTCTTTTCATCAGATAAGGATATTTTCTATTTTCTTCTATTCTTCAAATAATGCTATTACGTGCCATATAACTTTTTTATACACAAGTTACGTCTATTACATCAACCTGAGTTTCGAAAAGGAAGTAGGGATTTAATAATAATGTTAACATACGTCCTGACGTTTAAAAAAAGCTGTATAGGTTCTCAAACCGGTATCGTAATTTGTGTGACAACATATTTTTATACAAGGAAAATGGGATTAAAAAAATCGATGGACAAAAAAGGTCGATAGAAAATAAATAAAAAAAAGATCGATAGAAAAAAAATAAAAAAAAATCGATAGAAAAAAAATAAAAAAAAAGATCGACAGAAAAAAATATAAAAAGATCGATTGAAACCAAAATAAAAAAGATCGATAAAAACATAAATAAAAAAGATCGATAAAAACATAAATAAAAAAAGATTGATAATAAAAAGTAGAGATCGATAGAAAAAAATAAAAAAAGATCTATAGGAAAAAAAAATAAAAAAAAGTCGATAGAAAAAAAATAAATAAAAAGATCGATAGAAAAAATATAAAAAAAGATCGATAGAAAAAAATAAAAAAAAAAGATCGATAGAAAAAAAATAAAAAAAGATCAATAGAAAAAAAATAAAAAAAAATCAATAGAAAAAAATAAAAATAAGATCGATAGAAAAAAAATAAAAAAAAGATCAATAGAAAAAAAATAAAAAAAAGATCGATGGAAAAAAATTAATCAAAAATAAAAAAATATAAAATAAAATAAGAAGATCGATAGAAAACAAATAAATAAGATCGGTTGACATCAATTAAAGAATCGGTTAACTTTTGAATTTAAACAGATTCATTCTACTCAACTTTTAATAGAGATATTTATACTAAAAAGAGCACCTATCCCTTCAAAATTTAGATATCATAAAAATTTTGATATCTTAAAATAATTTATTTAAATAGCCAATCTTAATTCAACAAACTGTAATTTAAAAGTCTTGTTTGGTTTTCTAGTTTAATTATTGTAAAACTTATAATTATTCGAAAAAAGTGCTAAAAAGTAGTTACGTTTCTATAGATAATGGAAACTTCTTCTATACTAATGTTCAAAAACTTTATAAAACTTTATGCATGATTAACATACATTATAATTAAAACCAGACTTTTAGCGGTACCATAAAAACTTTAATACTGCAGTAATATAAGAACTTCAAGACATAATGCACCACCAGGCCTTACTGGATCTCTATGATCAAAGTACATGCGTGGTGGTATAAAATGTTTGAAATCAAATTAACCTGAAGGCGAATATAGAATAATACAAATAGATAACATAATTTTAAATGGATTTAAGATATTTTATAATTACCTGTTTGAATATGAAAATCTTAATAACTAAAGTATCTACATACCTTCCATCCTAGATTTTCAAAAAATGTGCAAAGGCGGGATTGACCAGTTGTTTTACCACCGCATGGACCTAAAATATAATAAAAAAAATTCATTAAAATATAAATTTTAATTATTGTTTTAAATATTATATATTTAAAAAAAAAATTAAATATTCTATATATTTATGAAATATATTTTTATAATATATATATTTTTTAATAATATATATATTATTATAACATATAATTTCTTATAAGTATATAATATCTTGTTGGTCAGTATGGAAGGTTATATATAAAAAAAATATTTGCAAAAACCTTAAAAATGGTCTTTGCGTATAGACGCAGTATCCAACGCATGAAAAAATATATTTTAAAAATAAATTTAAATAAATTTAAAATTGTTAACAACAATTGTATGCAACAAAATGAATAACAAAGTATCTGCCAATTATTTAATTTTAAATTAAAAATATGCATGCCACCCACTGTGTAGGGTAGAATAGCAAGGCGAGATCTGCGAAGAAATTGCATTGGCTGCAGTGCATTATTTATGTAATTAGCCTTGACTGTGGCAGTAAATGACGGCTACAAATCCCGTCTAATAGGTGCTTTGGAGCACTTGACAATAGCGAGCAACGTGACAGGGAAATTACAAATAATTTCGAATAAATTAAATCAACCAAACTGTGATAAGTTAATAAGTAAATAGCATTTAAGTAAATTGCATTTTAAATTAAACTAAAAATTGTTAAAAACAATCATAAATTTAATTTATGACATTTATTGACATTACTGAGATAATTTCACTTTATTCGAAAAAAAAAAACATAATAAAAAATATGCATGTAGCTCTTGATCAAGGTTCGGCCCTATAATTAATTTATTGTGTTGCCAGACTAATAGAAAAACACATATCTTGCTTTATTAAGTTGTTTGTTTTTAATAGTAAATAAAACTTATGTCTAATAATATACTAAGAAACATGGAAGGAACAATGTAAGTAAAGTAATGATAGTGATTACTAGAATGAACCTTTTGTGTGTTCCTAGGAAAAGGTGTATACTTGACTCAACTGGTATGGGTTACCTGTTTCTGACTCTCCGATTTTATTCAAAAAGTTGTAAGTTAGCATTAGTAGTAGTGAGCTGGCAAATTATGAGATCCTTAGAATGGGAAATATAATTACTAGTTACTTTGTTTGCCAATCGACTATGTGGAATTAGGAAAATATATAAATTTGAAAGAAATATTAGCTTATGCCAGCCTTAATGGGCCAAACGCTAATATGTGGCATTATTTGTTCATTTAAAAATGTGTTTAATAAATCTTTGAACTCTTAATAATACGTAAATTGTTTTATAAAAAATCACTTTAAAAGCTAATTGAGTTTGATTGACTGAGTGGATACAGGAATTGATGATGACGATGATGGTTAACTGTTTCCAACAAAACTTTAATCATATGCATGACTTATCAAAAAAATTGTAATAATACAATAACTGCTTACGAATTTCATTTTTAAAAGCTTCTAAATAAATATGATAGATGTTGTTAAATTTAAGAACCGAACGAGTACATGTCCCGGAGTCAATTGTATACGACGGTCAAGTGTCACTTACTGGTAAACTTAAATTTAATTAAAATTAATCAAATTCGCTCTCTTGAAGGAAGTGAATTCACACTGCTTATAACAACAGATATGTCTAACATAAATAATTATATACAATAACAAGTATACAATGGTGTTTTTAGAGCCTTTAATATTTCTACAACCACAGTTTATGATATTCTATATAATAACTAAAATATGATAGATCACAATTCAATTCACCATGAGCCTCAACAACATAGCCCTATTAATTATAGATTCGCCAACATGTCGCCCAAAATATCACTGCGAAATAAGGAAAAAGACTATTTACAAGAACATGGAGATATGGTTCTGTATATCTAAAAAAGTATGGAAAGATATTGTCTAAAAGTAATCTATGCTACAAGGCTAACTATAATAGCATCAGCCTTTTATTCAAACTGTGATGAGAAGGAGGAAGAAAATCGAGGAAGGCTGTCGAAAGACACTTTCGAAATCCTAGTGAACACTTCAGTCAAAATATTTACAGAGTCAAATCGAAATGGTTTTGAAAATAGGGAATGGTCAAACCGCCCTAATGTGCGACGATGATCGACAACTGAGGGTTGTTATCTTTGAATAAAACATTTATTTTCGTATAGGTACATAGCTTTAGCTCTGACAAACATTGAGCAATTAACTATAAATATATTTTGACTCCTGTATTGGTGAGTATGTCTTTCATTATTTTTTGCACACTTAGTGTTACCATCTCAGCTTTAAAATATATTACAAATTAGTACAATAACATAATAACAAATAAGAAAACATTTTTCTAATAAAAAACAGAATCAGAACATTTTAATGTTTACTATAATTAATATATTATAAAATTTCTTTCTAAGATTACTTTTTCTGAAAACACTACTAAAAAACACTGCTTTTTGAAAATATTTATACAAATTTTTATAAAAATCCATTACTCATATATTGTTAATTATTACAGAAACAGATGTTTTTGTATATAATAAAATAGAAAAATATATAAAATATACCATATATGGTTAATTGTGATAAAGACATAGTGGTAAACCTTATGTGAAATGATGTTATTCATTCAAGCTAAAATTGATAATCTGTTCCAAAGATTTAACAAACAAACGATGTTATTATACACACAAGTACACGCTACATTAACTCTAGAGACAAAAGAATTACCTCAGCCCAACGCACTCCACATACAATATTCTCAGATATCTAGATTTACTTGGTCTAATTTGGATAAAAAAACGCACTAGTCAGCTACTTTAACTAAGGCGGAACCTGCTCAGCACCACGGTATCTGTGATGACGGGCTACTGCAAAATAGGAAGATATGCTATGAGACTGAGTCTACCCTATAATAACTTCTGCCACAGCTATAGCTCTGAGAATGAGGAGGAGACTGTGTTTTATCTCATGTGTCAGTGTCTTCGGGACGCCTTCTCTTACCGAGCTGTCATCCTGTAATATTAGAGACTTAGCCAAATTCATATAACTGTCAGGTTGATTCTCCTTTACATAATGGGGGAGTCGTCACCGTTTTTGACATTGTTTGAATACTGATCTTTCAGTCAATGTACATACCAACACTTTTGCTGTGGTACCACAATTGCTGATTATTTGTGCTTAAGTGGGCTTTTAGATACAAGACCGTTCACTCCAACCTACCTAACATACCATAGAATCTACAATATTTGTTCAAAACAAACATTTTTTAATTGAATACTCTTATCAGAAGTAAATAACTATTAGTAGCTAATAGATATTAATAAATAATAAATATAATTATTAGTTTTTTTAAATGGGGCAATAATGGTCTATACCAACACAACTTAAACCACTTAAACCACTTTAAGAAATTTGGATCATTTGATTTATCTTACTTAAAAACAGAATACGAGTAGTTTATGTACCAACAGATAGCTATTTATTTATTACCGATTTTAAAACTCAATATGTCCAATTAAATTTAACACAGTGGAAGGGTTCTGTAAATTTTAACTTCAAATTTTCAGTTCTCAAATTTCAGAATCTCCACCGAATCGAAATGAAGATGGTAAGTGGATAAAAACAGAATCAAAGAAAGCCGAATGATTTTCAGATCATTCATGCAAAGTGATTGCACCGTTATCACCACATCCTTTTTTTTGATAAAACCTATGTACAAAATCCTATTTAGGCACTCAATTAAATGTACCAATAATCAGGCCTTAATTTCCAACAAATAAAGTGAAAAATATTATCAAGAAACTTGAAAACGAAGAGTTCTTCAAGTTATGACCTCATAACAACTAAGTGCTAAAAAAAACTACCCGATCCTTGGGTAATATATAATACCCAATACTGTAAGGGAATCATCTACCGTGGTAACGTTACTCAATAGTTTAAAATAGCAGAAATTATATTGATTCAGAAACATAGAAAGCTATATCCTACAGACTAAATTAGTCTGTTTCTCAATCAAGTTAAGTTCTTTGAAAAAGCTGGACAAATTCAAACTAGTAATAGAGATAAATTCCCTGATTCCAAATTATTCCTGAGTGCAAAGGGAGACTAAGGTTTCACTGAAGCCATGTAATTTTTTTAAAAATGTATACGTAGCTTAAGAATACAACGTTTAAAAAATAAATCCCCTATTATACTAGTATTTATTTCATTTATTATAATAATTATTATATAATTATTATTATAATTAATTAAATTAAAAATAAATTAAAATAAAAAAATATATTTTAATATCAAAACTCATTTGGCAAGTGTAAACTAGCATTTTTGATGTAGTTAATCTATGAGAAAAATCTTTTAAAATTGAAAGTTGTATTTTTTTTTGGTGATTCACTTATTGTGTTAATTAATCTTGTTATTTAAATTACAAAATACATTTTTTTTAAAATCATCAAATTATATAAAGTATTATAAAAAGTAGTTTAGACGAATGAATATTCAATATATTAACAATTAAATTGTATCTATTTGAAATACTGCAGGAAATAAGGCTTCCAAAGATTTTTACTTTTAAAACTAAGATTTAAAGTTTAAGATATTTATTAAAATTAAACAATAATTTGTTTAGCAAAAAATTACTTTATATTTAAATAGATTAATCACGTTGTATCTTTCATTAATAAAAAATAATTCCCAAAAAAATATTTATTCTTTTATTAAAAATATAAACAATAAATTTGCAGAGAGATATTTCTAGTAATTATTCTATTTCTTTTATTTACAAACAGAATAGTATTGAAATTTAACCATTAAAAAATAAAAATATAATTAATTAATTTAATTGTTTTACAGCTGGTTTATAATTTCATTCTAATAGAAACATAGCAAGTAAATTTGTTAATAAAACTTTCATAGCAAAATATGTTAACAAAACTCCAGAAAAATTAGCGAACATAAAAAGTCAAGTACGGCTTTGGGTCAGTTGGTTAAAGAGCGCTGACTCTGAGCTTCAAATTTGGCAGGGCACGA